GTGAGGACACAGATGGAAGGTGCCATTGATAGCCTGGAACTGGGCTCTCACCAGACACTGAATCTGGTGGTGCCTTGGTCTTAAACTTCTAGCTTCCACAAATGGGAGAAATAAATTTGTGGCACTTTGTTATATATAGCAGCCTAAACAGATTCAGGCAGGAAATCTCTACTGTGTCTTCTAGATCTTGAACACTGTAGTTTGTGATTATAGATTTAAAGAGATTCAGATGCTCTTAGGGCCTAATTTTCAGGGTAGAAATCAAAATCCTACTCTCTCCTGAGCATGTGTCTTGTGAAACAGCATCTTTTTTCTTTTTCTTTTCTACAGCAGTTTTCATTCCTTCTTTGTTCTTTTTTCATGCAAAGATGTTGCAGTTTATACATTATTGAGCAAGCTGTAGAGAAAGTCATTACTTTGTAAGAAAATGCTGCCTCGCTTCACCTAATGTACAATACGCTGGCCACTGGGAAGCTTTTGTAATGTTCACATTCTCGAGATGACCAGCCGAAATGTGATTTGTCCACAGCAGCTGCAGTGGCACCCCCATTGAAACTGCTCATACACCGGGTAAATTCTGTGCAGGAGGGTTTTAGAGTCTTGTTGAGATACACTAGTGTACACCATGCCTTCATAAAGATAAGATGGCAGGCATTGGAACCGCCGGGCATTCTGCACAGGTGAGAGCTCGCTCAGAGAATGTGTCTACACAAAGGACCTGGCCCGGCATGCATTGCTTGGGAATTCATTATAGCGTCTGAGGTGAGCAGCCCTCGAGGGACAGTGCTGGCCAGTGTGTTCTCCCATAGTATGGCATGGAGGGTGGGGGGATGAGCAGAAGCCCTCCATCAGCCAAGTTTGGGTTGTCAGTGATTTAGTTAGCGCAGGTGAGTACAGCCTGAGTCTCAGAGAAAGGCATGTGACGATTTGCCCATCTTGTTGAAAAATTATGTAAGATCCTAGGAGGAAAAAAAAATCACATCCAGTTAAAATCAGCAACACACATTGGAATTCAAATATTGTTTCTGTCACAACCGGAAGAAGGTGGTATGACTTTAATGAAAGAAGAATGGAAGCAGATGATGTGAAAGAAAATCACAGAGTAAGGGGGGAGAGACTGGAAGCCTGTGCTTCCTCCTTACCTATAAGGTTGGACCTGGGGCTCCGCACGGACTGCACTTTGTGAGACTCAGGTGAACCACGGCATGTTCCTTGTGGGATAGCCTCCCTCTGAGATCTCACAGCTGTCACCTGGCTGGGCTTCAGGTGGAGCCCAGTCAAGAGGAAAATGGTGGGGATTGCCACCCCCATCCCTCCACCCTGCTCCGGTTCTATGTCAAGATGGCCCTGACTCTCCAGCTTGCAGTCCCCTTAACTGTCCTGAGCCATCTTGCCTAGTCACCCCCTACCCCTGGCTGGAGCCTTTCCCCTATTCCCCTGCAGTGGGAAGGGCGAGGCACATTGAATCTTGCTTTACCAACATTTAGGGTCTCCTGTCCCTTCTGTTCCTGATGACCTGGCTCTGGCCGTTAGGCTGGATCGGGGTGAGGGAACTCCAGGGAAAGGAGAAATGGGAACCTGTTTCCTCAGCAGCCTAAGTAGCCCTGTCCCATCTGTGCAGTTTCCACCCTCTCTCCCTCTGGCCTGGGGATACGTAGTCAGGTATTCTGGCCCCCGCCTGGAACACTGCATTTCTTATCCCAAATTTTTGTTACCTGGTCATCAAACATAGAGACCTTTTTATTCCCTAGCATCGGAGAGGAAGTTTCTCTTTGCTTGAGAGGCCAAGTGGGCAGGAAGATGGGCTCTTAACACCCCAATTCAGGGTCCCAGGTGCATTTTCCACAGAAATCATGCTGGGCACCCCCGTTCTGACAGAACTGTGCTTGTGCATTGTGCTGGTGTCCTGGCCTCTTGTAGCCTCAGTCTCCACACCTGCAAAAGTGGGGGAGTACCTACGTTGTCACAGGGGACTGTTGGAAGGGTTCAGATAACATAGGTGTCAGCAAGTTCAGGCTACTCCCTGTCCCCAGGCAACTGCCTCTTGAATTTCACTGCACCAGCAGCTACAGAAGACTCAGCTTCCTGAGAAGAATGTTTGTTTCCCAGGTGCCAAAAGCCTGATGGGAAAGCTTTCTATTTTGGTAGCCATCTGGCACTGGTAGGATCGTGGCCAAGTACATTTAAACAGGACTTTGGCCCTTTTTTGGTAAAATATTGTTGAAAGCCAAAAGAAGGCTTTGGCTTGGTTAATAAGCATCATCGTTGTTATTCACAGAGCAGTCTCAGTGCTTTATTGAGCTATGTCATCTGAGCTACATAGCTGTTCCGGGCCGAACTGTGTCCCTACAAAATTTATATGTTGAAATCCCACCTGCCTCCCTATCCCTCAGAATGTAACTGTATTTGGAGGGAAGAGCCTATAGAGGCAGTTTGGCTAAAATGAGGTCATTAGGATGGGCTCTAATCCAGGCTTACTTGTCATCTTATATGAAGAGATTAGGGTGCAGACAGTAGACCCTGAGAGGACTCGGAGAACACGCCGTCTACAAGGTAAGAGAGGCGTCCTAACGAACCAACCACATGGTCCTTAATTCGGACTTCCAGCTCCTGGAACTATGAGGAAATAATGTCTATTGTTGATGCGCTATGGTACTTTGTTACGGCATCCCAAGTAGACTAATACAGTACTTTTCTTCTCCACATATTAGGGGTAAGAATACTAAGATATTAAGTAATTTGACATGACTAATAAGGAGTTGACTTAGAATCCCTCCAGGGCTATGTTCTCTGTCTTTACTACCCCCACCCCAAGTCCCTCAAAGACTATTTTGGTTCCACTGGAGAAAAATAGGTTAATTCCCAGGGTGTGCTTGCTACAGAGAGTGTTCTTCCCATCTGGATAGAGAAGATAAGCTCCCTGTGGGCAGGGAACATGCCCTCTCTTGTTCCCCTCCCTCTCCCAGCATCTAGGAGGCAGCTGGCATGTTGCAGGGACTCCATAGCTAAATTAATTTAAATCACTGTAGTTTGTTTTTGTGAAAAGTCACTGAAGTAGCCTATTCATATCGGTTATGAAGTGTCTTTGAAAATGTATTTTGATGGCCAAGGCCTAACGTCGTCTTTTCTGCTGATCTTACCATGTCACCTGTATGTCTTGTCAACTATTCTCAAACCTGCTCTTCCACAGGTATTTTCTGAAATAGCTTTTTGTGATTCACACATTTGAAAAGGTCTATTGAAAGATTATTTCTAAATGTTTTATTTCTTGGAGTGTGTTACCAACAAAAGCTGTCCTCTGCCCGGCCCTGGCTGCTTCAGCGAGCTCATTGTTTTATGAGGGCAGTGCCACCTGATGGACTGAGCCCCAGGCCTGCTGCTTTCGGGACAGGAGTTTACTTTCGGGACTGTCTGCCTTCTGGGTTATGAAACTGCTGAATTATCATGTTGCTGTCTTGTTGCATAGTTGAACTATCTTGCATTTGAAATCACATGAAAGGATGATTTCCGAGGTTTAGAGACAAAGCAAATTTGTAACATGGTCTAATACTCTGGCTTATGCTTGTGTTTCCCATGTACTTTAGTAAAATGCTTCAGTACAGAAACAAGTAGCAGAAGCCATTAGCTTAAGTGAATTGATGTATTTCCTCTAAAATCCATGTGACTGCCCATTTCATGGCACCTCAAGCACCCAGCACAGCAGCATCTCAGGCTTGGGGCCAGCCTGCACTCAGGGGATAGGTGGCCCAGTGCTCCATAGTGAGGACAATGTGCAGACAATTGTGGTATAGCCTTTAACCCTCTTGAGTCCTGCCCACTCAACAGGGCAGTAGAAGCCAAAGTAATTCTTAGCACCCTCTCTCTTCACTCCAATTTGAGGAGGAAAAGGAGAGAGGGACATAAACTTTTTCTCCTTGAAAGTCCCTTTGGCATCATTTTGGAGAGAAAAAAAGTCTGCAAATGAGTGAGCGCAGTTTCCATACCATCTAAACCTCCATGTTGAGTAAGAGTTTGAAGCAGAGCTCAAAGGTGGGCAGCCACGTGTCTGGGGAAAGCTGAGGAGGAAAGCAGCCAGCCCTGCCTGGCTAGTGGTGTGTTTCCAGCTCTGAGTCCAAAGTGTTTTCTTCCCCAAGAATGCATTGTAACTGGGTTAAGGTGTTTTAGAGGAACTATGTCACACATTACAATTCAGTACTCATTTGTGACTAAAGAAATAATACTTACTGTAATTGTGTTTGGTGCATTGAAATTTTGTTTTATTCCCTTAAACCCAACACATACCTACAGGTTGGCTACAACCCATTACATTGAATTTTATGATCCACTAGTGGGTTTTGAATCGCAGTATGAAAAATGTCACCTTAGATTTAAGGTATTAGCTGATTTTTCCTAATTCCCCTATCACAAGCTGTGGTGGGAAATTGGCCCATTGTTTCGAAAGAAGAGAATTGGAAGAGGAAGAGAAGGGTGAAAATGATGACTGGGTTTCTGTGCAGCAGAGCCATTATGCTACTAGGCAGGGGGGAGGGAGGACAGTGAGGCCTCAGAAGTGGGGGCGCTGGTGGTGGGGTGGTGGGGTAGCGAGCTCGGGGTGGCTGGGGCCTGACGCGTCTTAGCATTGGATGGGTCTTTGAATTCATTTGGCCCAACTTCCCACCCAGTATGCATACAATAATTTTGTCTGTGCCTTTACACCCTGTTTGCCTAACTGAACTGCACAGAAGTTCTCTAAAAATGGATTATCATTTCAGAAGGAAATGTTCCACTGTTATTTTCTGTTGTGGGGGGAGGACTCTGGTATTTTCTTACAGATAAGAGTGATCGCTTTTAGTAATTCTCAACTTGCTGGCCAACACATGATGTTTCTGGTGATAACTATAGTTTGTAACCATGGTCGATGTGTCCCCCTTGTGCTTTATGCCAGAGAAGTCGCGCGCTCACGCGGGGAGCCCGCGCGGTGTCCCTCCCCGCGCACACTCAGCCTTGCTGTGTCTCCGCAGGCCTCGGCAAGACGCGCAGGAAGACGAGCGCACGGGATGCGTCCCCCACGCCTAGCACGGACGCCGAGTACCCGGCCAATGGCAGCGGCGCCGACCGCATCTACGACCTGAACATCCCCGCCTTCGTCAAGTTCGCCTACGTGGCCGAGCGGGAGGATGAGCTGTCCCTGGTGAAGGGGTCGCGGGTCACCGTCATGGAGAAGTGCAGCGACGGCTGGTGGCGAGGCAGCTACAATGGGCAGATCGGTTGGTTTCCCTCCAACTACGTCCTGGAGGAGGCGGACGAAGCGGCCGCGGAGTCCCCGAGCTTCCTGAGCCTGCGCAAGGGCGCCTCGCTCAGCAACGGCCAGGGCTTTCGTGTGCTGCACGTGGTGCAGACACTGTACCCCTTCAGCTCGGTCACCGAGGAGGAGCTCAACTTTGAGAAGGGAGAGACCATGGAGGTGATTGAGAAACCCGAGAACGACCCTGAATGGTGGAAGTGCAAAAACGCCCGGGGCCAGGTTGGCCTCGTCCCCAAAAACTACGTGGTGGTCCTCAGTGACGGGCCAGCCCTGCACCCTTCCCACATCCCGCAGATAAGCTACACAGGGCCCTCGTCCAGCGGGCGCTTCGCGGGCAGAGAGTGGTACTACGGGAACGTGACACGCCACCAGGCCGAGTGTGCGCTCAACGAGCGGGGCGTGGAGGGCGACTTCCTCATTAGGGACAGCGAGTCCTCGGTAAGTGTGCGGCCCCGCCCCAGAGAGCCTCTGAGTGTGTTTGTGTTGCACGGTGTGACTGTGTGTGCCATGCCCCTTAAAGATTGTCAGACTACAGCGGAGACAGCATGAGAATGTAGATGAATCGCAGGGAGCAGGTTGGCTGCTCTGCGATGTCCTAAGTCTGCTTCCGGGCACTATCAGCTCACGGGTGCCGCTTGTTCTGCTGGAGAAAGGAGGTTAAGGAAAATATTCTTAGCTCATGAAGGCGCTTTTTCTTCTTACCTAAGATTCCAATCCTTCTCTTACAGACACACAAACGTCATTTTCTCTCCTGCTTTCCCGTTCTTTGTGTGGAAAGCCCTGGTGACTTCCTTTTGTTCCTGCTGTGTCTGTGCTGTCTTTGCCGAGGCGCACACAGTGTTCCTAGGGAGACAGGCGCCTGGTTTCTGATGCGGCCCTTTTGTTGGTTGGTTTGTTTTTCTTTGTAAACCACATAATCCCAAGGTCATCTCCGCCACAGGCAGCGCCACTGAGTTCATCTCTGAAAAGCTTTTAAAGCACTTAAAGGCTGAATTGAAAAGAAGACGAGGGGTCTTGAGAGAGATGAATTTTGTTGTGTGTGCAGTGAATCCGAGGCATAAGACCACTGGCTTGTGACGGCAGGGCCACTGCCAGCAGTGGTCAGATGGGGGGTTGTGTTCTGGGAGTGCGGCCAAGCGTGCCCTTTGAACTGGCCCAGCACCACACAAGGTAGCCTTTGCCTGTGTTATGGAGATAACTCAACCCACTCTGTACGTAATCTTCCAAATACACCTTCTATGGTAGTGAGACGCCCCCAAACAAGACTTTTGAAGACAGAGTCAGATATATCTGAACTTTATTGGTTCTATTATTTTCATTTTTAAAATGCAAATGGTAAGACTGGAAGTATGTACTGTGCACTTTGACTGTTGTCCCATGGAAAAGACACAGTAAGTAAATACACATTCACAGTTGCAGTTGGCTGATGTGCAAACTAAGAGCCCTTCGGAGAGATAGGCCACTTGGATCTGCTCTTCTCTGAGGCAGAAGGAGTACCTGGCGGTGGAAACAGGACCCCTTTATGGTGTCAGCAACTTCTCAGAAACAGCTGTGGCTTCAGATGTGCTTGGGCAGGCAAGCTGGCCTGAAAGTTAACTGCATGTGAAATCTGAACTGTGAATTTTCTTATCAAGCTGCCAGAGTTTATCATTCCTGGCAAGACATCACATTAAATTGCTCTCACTCTACGTAAGCTCTGTGCATAGCTTGCTTTAGATCCTGTTTGAAGCCTTAAGAGAATTAGGACAGTAGCACTTTAACTCTGTCGAGCAGAAACTTAGAGCAGTGGAAAACTAAGTATAATATTAAGTGTTCAGTCCAGAGTGCTTAAGAGATAAGTATAATGAAACCAAAAAGTATAATCTTGGTTTAGAAATTTTGAGTTGGAAGAGACTTCTGAGACAAGAGTGGGCCCAAAGAAACCCCACAGTGTGGAGACAGTAGCCCCGTCCATTGTTCTTTCTGTCTAGACTTGGGGAGAAGAGGAAAGACCTTGGGAAAGGATAGATGAGTCAGGTGTCTTCTGGGGTTGCAGGCCTTGCAGAGAACCTATGGCTTTTGTGTGGAACACGTACAGGTAGTTGTCACTATCTGAACTTGGAGACCAAGTATTTTCTAAATACTTAAAGCACTGTTTCTATTTTCTTTTAATCATTTTTATAGAAACCTTTCCAGATTTCTTTTAATTCTGCCTTATTGGGAAACCAAGAACAACATGGTCATAGTGTGCTGGGGCCTTTAATTCTAGGGGCGGGGGATTGGGGCAGAAGGAGCTTCACATTGGCTCATCACATGTAGTAACACCATCTTGATCTTAGGCTCCTTGTGGCCAGCTGCTGTGCAGGGCCACTTGTGCTGACGGATTGTGCCATTTCTAGCTACTAGGGTGTGTGCCCTGAGCCCAGGGGATGCTGCTCTGAGGCGTGTTTGGTGGTTCTCCTGACAACAGCAGTAGGCCAGGCCAGGTTTGCTGCATTACCTGTTTATAACCAGGTCTGTTCTATCACCGTGACTGCTGAGCATCTATTCTGGTGGACAGGTGGACAGATCTTTTGCTTATGCTTTTTCTCATCAGCTATTCCCTCCTCCTGCCCCCCACCCCCACCCCATTCATTTTGGCATTTCTTAGGGTAGAGCCTGGCTTTGCAGCCACCACCAGGTCCCTAAAAGCCCTTAGGTTCATGATCTGACATCATCACACATTGTGGTATGCCAGACAGAATGGTACTGTATGTGGGACTCAGGGGCATCCATACTTAATTTCCTTTTCCTTTCTTAGAATCTTTGGGTTCAGGGCTTTTCTTTAACTGAGGTTAAGCCTGACTTCAGAATAAGCACAGTAGGTTTCTTTGGAATACATCTTCAAGATGTGTATCAACTTTTTAAGCACCTGAATGATTCCAGTATAAGTGAGTTAGACCTTCATTTGATGATATTGGGAGGTGCATACTTTAGAGAAAACAAACAAAAATGTTGCCACATCCTACACTACCTGATGTCAGTGAAGCGCTGGGTATTTCAGAAGTATCTGCTGGATACCTGTTGGCTTAATCAATGAAAGAACAAAGGAACCACTGGGGCTCCCTTTCCTGGCCTGACCTCAGTGCCCACTGTTCTTTCTTCCGTCTCTTATTCCTCCCCTGCTCCCCTCTCATCTACACTGGTCATTTATCTTAGCAGCTAAAGGTGATGCAATATTGTTTCTTTTCATGTTCATGTCTCCACCTGTGAGCCATGCTTCCCTATATCTAGAAATTTCAAATTCCTACTCACCCTCTGTATCTCTTCTTTAATCTTTATATATTTTGTCTACATTGATTGCGTGGATGTAGCTAGATGTTAACCTTACAGTTAACAGAAACCCTTAGCTAAAGTTCTGGTAAGCTATGCAAGTCATCAGCATTTTGCTTTCTCTATCGTTACATCCCCCATGCTGATAAAGGTTGTTCAGAAAGTGACAGATCACAGTTGGGATGAGGTCTAAAAAGTGACTTTGCTGGACAGCTCATCCATAGGCTTAGAAAGTCACTTTCTTCCGGAAGATTTGAGAATCCAAAGAGATCAGGCTTTCCCTCAGCGGTAGTGTATCCCACAGTAGTATTAAATACTACTTTGCTTTTTTGTCGTACAATAGATTTGTTTCCAGTAGAGAAAAACTCTCTTGCTAAGGGTAACTTAAGGTACATATTAGCCACATTAAAAGTAGATGGGTATTTCATTTCTGGTTTTGTTTTCTTTTTTTTTTTTTAATTTAACAAAACTTTTTGGCTAGGAAATAAAAGAATAAGAAGGATTGCTTTCAATATTTTTATAGTTATAATCTTTCTTATAGAAATCATAATTTCTGAACAAAACTGTGTTTTCAGACAATGTCATCATTCCATCTCTCTAAATAGTAATTCTCAAATTGTAGTGTGTATCAGGATCCTCTTGAGGGCTTGTTAAAACAGGAATGGCTGGGTCTCTCCTGCAGCCTTCTTGATTGAGGAGGTCTGGGGACTGCGAACCTCCTGCAGCCTGAGAATTTGCATTTCTGGAACAATTCTTGGTGAAGTTGATGCTCCTGATCTGGAAGTCACACTTTGGTCACAGTTTGAAAACCCCTGATTCCTATATGCATTCTCAGTGGTTGTATACATCTTCCCAGAAGTTACTGAAACTGTTTCTGTGTAACACTTTATTCTTAAGAATTATAAAAATGCTTATAGGTGAAAATGACAATCGTCATAGAGCTTATTTTAATTTTTTGTAAAACTATTAGCATTTGCTGAGTGGAATTTATTTCTTGAAGTGTTATGATATTTATTTGATTTTTTACTCTTTAGAGTTTGAAAATATATTTAGCTGCATTTGCTGCGTTTCTGCTGGAGAATTGGATAGAGGTGGATTGTCAGAGCAAAGTGTAGGCCTGTAAGCCGCTTCCAGGCCACCTCAGAAGAGGAGGAGCAATTGAGTGAATTCCTTTTGTGGTCTGCTAGCAAGCTCGCTAGGTCTGAGGGTGGGCGCGATGGTCCCCAGGTGTTTTCTCATAAATGAGTTAGTGTTAAGAGAAAGCTTAGGTTCCTATGAACAGTGCCTGTGGGCATCTTTCCAGTTTCAAAGATAAGTTATTTTTAATTGCCAGGCTTTTTGCCCAGTACCAAATGGAAGTTTTTAAGCCTGGATTTTTGTAATATTTCTAACTTTAAGTATATTTAGTTTTCAAAGATAGAAGGAGCTACAGGATTATGTAGTACAGGCATAATCTAGTTCTAGGCTGTGCACTAGAAGTTTGGTGCTCAGAGCCTGATTACTAAGAGACCATAGACACTGCCTCTGCCTCCTCGGCCCTGGCTGCTCACCATTCCCCTGGAAAACACACAAACAAGCCAGGCATGGTAGCACCTCCGTCCCGGCTAGTTGGGGAGCTGAGGTGAGAGGATCGCTTGAGCCCAGGGATTGGAGGTCACAGTGAATTGTAAGGATGCCTTTGCACTCGAGCCTGGGTGGCAGAGTGAGACCCTATCTCAAGAAAATAAAATATAACAAACAATGCACTATCCACTGGCATCTGTGTAAACACAGGCACCTAATTGAGAGCTGATTCTTTTAATGTAATCAAGAGCAAGCTGATCAGTGTGTTGGTCATAAGTTCTTTGGGGACCACAGCTCCCCATCCTTCTCAGATGTGCTGGCCTATTTGTGTGAACAGTCTTGGATCACCTGCTAGGCTAAAATTGCAGCCATGGCTGCAGGAAAATTGGGAACTATGTTTGCCTTTTAGATTTAGACTTCCCTTTGGTTTGCAGAAGTAAAAATTAGGTGTAGCTTCCTGGCAATCTGATGATCATCCCACTTAAACCAGCAGTGAGATAAAATCATAGAAAGTGCTGGTTTGTTTTGTTTTGTTTTTAACAACACTCACAGATGTGGAGACAGATGGTGTGGGGGTGGGGGCG